AATAGTAAAAATTTGTTATCGATTAGTTGTACATTTGTAATCCAGACCAAAAATACATTAATTAACTCATGGGTGCAAGCATTTTACTAAGCTATCCATTTTTCGTCATCATTAAACAACATATGTTAAAGAAAAGGACTGACCATAATTATCCAGAGACTTAAAACATTAAAAGATATGTCTATATTTCTATAGCTAAATTTGATTGGGCGAGATTATAGTTTTGAATTTATTTAGTTTATAAACATATATAATTAAATTTTATGAAATCTATTCTTAATATTAAAAAATCTCAGTTTTAAAATAATTTTAATCAAATTTTTAGAAATGAAGAAAATGGTAAGCATTAAGCCAAATTGTAAATTGATTACAATTTACTAGATTTTGATCCACGCCAAGCGTGGAACTAAATATTTAAATATATTTTATAATCGATCTTAATATTTAGACGTGTATTCTAATACTTATAAACGTACAAAATGATATGTATTGTACACAAATATAATAAAATTAAATTTTTACTAAACAAATGTTATATACCTTGATCAATTTTGCATAAAAGTATTAAAATTACTGCAAATGTTATTTATTTCAATTTATTTGAAGTGTAAAATTGATTTTTATCATTTGTGTAAATCGTAGAGTGCAATATATCAAATAAATTTTAGATTTATAATTTTTTCGGACGTAACAAACAAAAAATATATGTTTTCTAATAATAAAATGTAAAATTTTTTGTAAGTGTAGTTATAATCTACAAATAAATATTATTGTTAGAAATATAATAATAAAAAGCTTTTTAATATATCAATTTAAAAATATATATATATGATATAGTAAGTCTAAGTATTAAATTTAGTTAAACTTAATTCTATAAAACATGTATTAATAGATTTATGTTATAAAATTAATAAAAACATATAGAAATTTCCACTATGGCATATAGTTTTAATTAAAATATTTTTATTGGTTAATTTAAATGTCATTTTCCTTAAAAATCTCATTGAATAATACATATAATTTTTTGAAAAATTTCAAAAAATGCCACTTTTCAAGTGCCACTTTACAAAAACGCCACACTTTTAAAATCTTTACAAAAATGCCACTTTTTCAAAATTATTTTTTCATTATATAATTTATGTTTGGGTTAACTATGTTATATTAGGGTTTAATTTTAAGTGTTTAGAGGGTTTTAAGTGTCAAAATATTTTTTAGAGTTTAGAATTTTAAGATATAGGCTTTATAAATCTATAATTAGTGGCATTTTTGTAAATAGACATCCCTAAGTGGCATTCTTGCAAATGTGCACCTAAGTGGCATTCTTGCAAATGTGCACACAAAAAGTGGTATTTTTGTAATTGCCCCTTTTTTTCACCAAATGTCTATTCAATTTATATATAGAGAATTATTGGCATTTTAAAGAAATTTTCAAAATGATCGCTTTTTTGAAAAGTGGCATTTTTAAAAAATTCTCTACATTTGATCTAAGTATCATGCAAATTAAATTTTGTAAGATAAAATATATTTATCTATACTGGAGATATATCTTTGTTATTTTTAATTTCTCCCGTATATTAAAAAAAAGCTTGAATTTTGTTTTTTAATATGCTAATCCTGTATTTAACGCATGTCAAAAAATCTAAGAGTCATTGAAAAGAAAATAAGATATTCTCACATATGCTTTATATTCTTTAAATAAAATCAACCATATTAATTACCATATATTTCTTGTTTTCATATTTGATATATTGTATATTTGATATAAATTTAGTCTAATTAGTTACACAATAATGTCATTAAGAAGTTTTAATATTTTTACTTTAAAATTTCTTAAAATTCTCTTTGGATGACACATAGGATTTTCATCTAATGTCTCCTCTATTAATATATAGATGATTTGAAAAAACTTTAAAAGAGAAAGGAAAGAATAAAACATCTTTTCAATTTAAAAGGGATATGGATTAGTAGATAAGATATTTTTTTTGTTAGCAAAGGAAAACTTGCGGTGTTCGGAAAACAAAGTAAAGTAAATACACGGAAATTTAATAGCAAAAAAGAATGGAAACAAGATAAAAATATGGAAACCTAAATCTTACTACACTAGGAAGTGAATGTAATGTCTCTATATAAAAAAGTGGATTTTGTATTGTAGCACTAAAAAAATCACAATCTTCTTCCAAATATTTATTTGCAGACTCTCTCTGTGTCTTCGGAAGATTAAGCTTCGTGTTCTCTTAAGCAAAATCATCATCATGTCTTGGTCTTCAAGAACCGCTTTGATCGTTTTGTGTTTCCACTTCGTGTTGATTCCATGCTTTACTACAGCAACAACAGATCAAGGACTTCAAGCTTCTAGATGTGAATCTCACAGCTTCAAAAACGGGAAACGTTTTCGTTCATGCACGGATCTTCCGGTGTTAGACTCGTTTCTACACTTTAGTTATGTCCGAGAAACCGGAGTTCTCGATGTTGCTTACCGTCACGCCAATCTTGAGTCTTCTAGTTGGATCGCTTGGGCTATAAACCCTACAAAGAAAGGCATGTTAGGTGCTCAAGCTCTTGTGGCTTATCGTAACTCAACCTCTGGTTCTATGCGGGCTTATACTTCCTCCATAACTAGCTACTCAACTATGCTTCAAGAATCTCCTCTTAGCTTCCGTGTAAGCCAAGTTTCCGCTGAGTATCTCAATGGAGAGATGACGATTTTTGCGACTCTAGTCTTGCCTCTTAACACAACCGTCGTGAATCACTTGTGGCAAGACGGTCCGTTGAAGGAAGGAAATAGACTTGGGATGCACGCAATGAGTGGAGACCATCTAAAATCCATGGCTACTTTGGATTTGCTTTCTGGTCAAGTAACCACTACAAATTCAGTAAACGGAAACATGTTGCTCGTCAAGCGAATCCACGGACTGATAAACGCAGTGAGTTGGGGAATTCTAATGCCTATTGGAGCTATGGCTGCAAGATACATGAAGACCTACGAAACATTAGATCCAACATGGTTCTATGTACACGTAGTTTGTCAAAGCACCGGTTATTTCTCCGGTTTAATTGGTGGTTTAGGAATAGCAATCTATATGGCGAGACATACCGGGATGAGTTCTACACCGCATACCGTGATTGGGATTATTCTATTCTGTTTAGGGTTTTTGCAGATACTTGCGCTCAAAGCAAGACCGGACAAGGATCACAAGTACAGAAAATATTGGAACTGGTATCATCACACGGTTGGATACGTAGTGATTGTGTTAAGCGTTTACAATATCTACAAAGGCTTGGCTATGTTGCAACCGGGGAGCGGTTGGAAAATCGCTTACACAACCATTATTTGTGCGATTGGTGCGTTTGCGATTGTGATGGAGATTTTGCAGTTTAAGAAGAGATGGGGTGGATTGTTCTCTAAGAAAACTAAAGACATTGAAGCTGATCAAACTGCTTCCACTAATGTGGTCTAGTTTGCTTAATTTCTTGTTTTTGAGAAGTTTTAATTAAGGTTGTGTTAGTTATTAGCATTCTTTTGTTTTTCAATTGTAGAATATTTTACTTCTGAATAAAAAGTTCTTTTTTGAATAATTTGGCCATTTTTTTTTGTTCTTCTTCTGCCTTTGATTGAAGCTTGCCAATGGTATATCGTATATGTATTTAACCCACTTAACATAATGTATGTAGCTAACTCAAATTTTTTTTTCTTTAACTCAAAGATATAATAGTACCGAGAGTACAAACATTGTTTATCCATGTCAAATTCTCAACCAAAAGCATTAGCCATGTACAATTCTCAAGTAGGGCCTTATAACAAGGTAGAGAGAACGAGCAAATTTAGCTATTGCATCTGCACATTGATTAGCATTACGATTATGGAATGACAAGGATGGTTGAACATGTCGACGGTTGTGTTCTCGTATCTCCTCCTTTTGCAGTCTTCTCCACTCCTCTGGCCTTTCAATGGCGTCAATATTAGGTTACTCGAATCGCTGTCAAAGATGACATCTCTGAATCTCAAGTTGTCCACACAAGGCAAAGTGGCTTCAGCTTCTAGTGGTGATCTTAAGAGTGGAAATCAATGTCCTCTGATCTAAAGAAATTCCGTAGCCACCAGAGAGGCGGATTAGACCAGAGTATACCTGAATTTATGTTTCCTACAACTATTCATTCAATAAATATATATACATCTTTGAAAATTCTCTTTAGAATAGATACTAAAAATCAATAAATCAGAGGTTTCAGTTTCACCTTTTTTATAAAAAAAAAAAAAAAATCTTCGTTTTGGATCAAAATTAACAAAATTTTTGTTCTTCAGTCAAATAAGAAAACACAGATTTGGTATGCATAATTAACATATCCGTATCCTAAAATTACCAGAAAAAATCATATTTTTTGGGGGGGCTCGAACTACTAATCCGAATCTCATCCTTAAGATATTATATCGAAGAGAATAAAAAGTACAACACTATTGAAAATCCTCAGCTACAAACTTTAAAAAATTCTTTTTAGAGAAAAAGTTTGAATTTTTGAAACAATTTGGTTTGGACCTTCAGATCAGAGTCATCACAAGGTCGGCGGCGGAGCAGATCAGACCGACGGAGAAAAGGCGGTGGTAGAAGCAAGAAAAAAAGCGAGCGACGGATTTGAAATTCAGATTGAAAACTATATAAAATAACGAAGGACATCATATGATCCCCTCAGGTTGATTTTTCTTATCCACATGTTTCTCCGCCGCTTCTAGCCTTTTATTCCGACAACCCGCCGCTTCTAGCCTTTCTCCACCGTCCTGCCGCCACCGCCGTCTGAATGTTTCAGAACGGTCTTTTATAGAGTTAGGGTTTTGTTCAGTCTTTTTACTTTAGGGCTCCACTGGGCCTTACTATTAAGCCCAATAATATAAAATTTGGGCCTTTTTTGGTTCATTTTATTGATATTTTTTTTTCGTCCCCGCGGTTTTTTGTTATCATGTAGTATATCAATGTCATGGATGTACTTTGTTTTTTATTTTGGGAATAAATTGGATATGACAAAATATGAATGTACCGACTCTAATATATTCATAGCTTTCGTACATGTATTGGTTAGAAGTTGAAATTAATGGTCCAACGAAGCAACGACTTATACCGGCATGCATGAGTTTGACCATATGAATTTAAATACAACGATGTAATTGGAGTCAAATCCAAATTGTGATTTTAATAAAGGTATGCCTTTAGGGCTTTTATGAATTGTGGTTAAATCGAAACCCGTATTAATCTTTGCTCGATTTGCAAAACAATGTTTTAAATATCATTTATACAGAAAATTCGGTATCAATATAAGAACAATTGCAAAAAATACCACAATAGATTATCTATTTGCAAAAATGCCACTAATTATAGATTTTTAAATCCTAAATCTTAAAATTTTAAACGCTTAAAAATATTTTGACCTTTAACAAACCATAAACTTTTAATACTAAACTCTAATACAACATAGTTAACTAAAACATAAATAATTTTTAAAAAGTGGTATTTTGCAAATTTTTTGAAAAATGGTATTTCTCTTTTTTTTTTTGTTTATCATCGTGAAGATTTTAAAGGTTTTCTAAATCCAAACATTAACAAATCTATTTATCACTCTAGCAAGTTCATCTGAGTCGCAGC